TCACATTTATAATTTATTTTTTTTTCTATTCGAATAATTACAAATAATTTATTTGCCCTTTTTGAACTTCGGAGCGCAAAAACGTATATATGAATTTTTTATATAATCGCTGTAATTAAAAAAAATAGATTCACCGCTGGTCGATTTGTTGAAATATAAACACAAAAATTACACAGCGAGCGTCATCAGAGCTCACTACTCTCTCCCTATCATACCCAAAATAATAATTGCCTCAATTGAAGCCAACCACAAATTCCGTTACGATGATGGAATGAATCGCAATGTTCCATTCCATCATATTCCATAAACAATGAACAGCGAAAACAAAATTCCAAAACATTTTCGTGTAAGCGAAACGGAAATGAAATGAGAAATGAAACAAAACACAGAAACACAGGGGAAAGAGTGAAAAAGAGATCGCTGTGTGATATCCGTAAGAGATAGAGAAGAGAGATAAAATTATTTAACTTCTCAATCATTTCCATAACGATGGAAATTAAGGGAAACGACAATTTTAATTGGAAGAGACGGAAGGAATTATCTCTTAAAAAATAATAAAATGAACATTTTTAAACATCCACACAAGGAGTAGATTTTTTTAAAATATTTTTTCATGATCTATCATAATCATGATTGCACTGTGCAACACCAAAAATAATTACCGGGAAATTTCAACAGATTATGAAGAGGGGCTAAAAAAGAAGACACGTGTATCGGCGTTTTGAAAGTTTACGTCGGGAGGTAGCCTAAAAAGGCGGGGCAATATCCCCATTTTCAAGAATTTTGAAAATTTTCGAATTATGATTTCATGAAATCCCTGCATTTTAGGTATATAGTGTCTTCGGCAATATTACTGATAAAATATCGAGGAATTTTTTGGTATACAACTTTAACCCTAAACCGTCAGTTTGAAGGGGTCTTTTCGGTCCTCTTTTCCAGAAGTGATTGAAAACTCATTCAAAACGGGATTTAAGCTGCTCAGAATATTCTACAGAAATGTTCGTCATAAAGATTAGCTGATTTGATTGCACCTGTTCTGGGGCATTATGTACATTTTTTAATGTGCCTCTATCAAGCCCAGACATTATGTATCGATAAGAGATTCGATAATGAAGAAGTATTACAAGACGAGGGCTCTCAAAATAAGTGACCACATCGTTGTTGTTGTTGTTGCTGCAGCTTGTACTGCAGTGCATTTTTTCTATTTTCCTTAACCTGGTTCTGTTGCTAACTCTAAGTTCAGGAAGGCTACGACCTGTATCGGTTGAGTCCAAAAAGAAGATGACTGAGTGGTGAGTGGATTTGGCTGGACAGTTGAATAGGTGTAGCGTGTGTCATGTGGTCCGTTACCACATGACGGGCAGATATTGTCAACCTCTCCATCAATTCGTGCCCAATATGAATTGAGGCGGCTACACCATCCAGAGATCTTACTTATGCCAAGACCACTCTGGTTTGCCGAGGTAGCTGCTGCTGCTTTTCTGCAGCTATGATAGGTGGATCGATCTCCGAGGATGGTATTCACACGATATTCTTGAACTGCTTCAACTGCATCCGTGTGAATAGCATTCAATCCTGCTTGATAGGCCTGCTGATCTAGAGGCTCCCTTTTGTACCTTTGGACTTCTATCTCTCCAGATCATGAATATCCTTCCTGACATACTTAGGTGGTATTGCATCGACAACATCTTGTTGTGTTGATGCACAGGAAGGATCTTCGTCTCCTCATGTAAGTGGTCTGCTGCTCTTCTGCAGCTATCATAGGTGGATGATTTCCTAGGATGGTATTCACACGATATTCTTGAACTGCTTCCTCAACTGCATCCGTATGAATACGATTTAATCCTGCTTGATAGGCCTTTTTGATCTAGAGGCTCCCTTTTATACCTTTGGACCTCTCTCTCTCCACAGATCATGAAGATGCTTCCTGACATGCCTAGGTGGATTTTAATCTAAACCTTTGGACCCCTCTCTCCAGATCATGAAGATCCTTTCTGACATGCCTAGGTGGGTGGGTGCCTATCCATTAGGTAACGGTTTGGATGGCTACTTCTATGACGCGCAAGCAGGTATTGATTGCATCGACAACATCTTGTGAAGGATCTTCGTCTCCTCATGTAAGTGGTCTATTGGAGTCATGAGGAGACACCCAGTTGCAGTTCTCTCAGGTCGGCATTCTGTCAGGATTGAAGACTTTTCCACTGCGTTGCACTGACGTTAGCGGACCACACTGGCGCTGCATAGTTTAGCACAGGCCGGCCTCCTATTGCTGTATGAGTCGTTAAAAAGGTTTCCTTATCAGCTCCCCAGGTGCTGCCGCCGGCTAGCGACTTGAGAACCTTGTTTCTGCTCCTGACTTTATCGCAAATAGCTGTGGCATGCGCTGACAACTTGTAGAGACTATCGAATGTGACCCCTAGAACTTTGGCGTAATTAGTTGTCGGAATTGTGGACCCTTAGTTGATTAAAAAGTGATGGTATATTCCAAAAAATTGTCTCCTATATTTTCTACGATTGGAGAATTTTAAGATTTAGATACAGCTCCCATATATATTTTCGTCCGATTTTAGGTAAACGGTGCACCAAAGTCTCTATATATCTTTCGCTTTACACGAAATTTTGCACAACGTACTGAATTAAGTCTAGATATATGTGTGTTAAATTTCGTGAAAATCGGTTCAGATTTAGATATAGCTCCCATATATATTGTTGTCCGATTTTTTGTAAATGGTGGATTAAAGTCCCTATATATCCTTCGATTTGCACGAAATTTGGCACAGCGTACTGAAACAAGTCTAGAAAGATGTGTGTTAAATTTCGTGAAAATCGGTTCAGATTTATATATAGGTCCCTAAAGTCCCCACATATCTTTCGATTTGCACGAAATTTGGCATAGGGTACTGAATTAGGTCCTGACTGATGTCAGCGAAGTTTTGTTAAAATCGGTTCAGATTTAGATATAGCTCCCATATATAGTTTCGTCCGATTTTTTGGTGGATGATACACCAAAATCCCAATATTTGTCCGATTCGGATAAAATTTTGCACAGAGTACTGATTTAGGTCAAGAATTTTTTTTTAAAGGCCTGAATTTTTTTTTTAAATTATCACATGAAAATTTTTTTTAATTTTTTTTAAAGCCATTAATTGCCCTAGATTTAAAAAAATATATTTTTTCCTGTTCAAAATCATCAAAAAATAAAATAATTAAATAAATCTCTTTCAAAGCCCCAGTCTTTTTTCTCTTTCTAATGTCCCCTCTCACATGAAATAATAACAGTGCCTGCTTCAATGTCTATCTCTCTTAACAAGAGGGAGCCACCATTCTCTAAATCTCTTTCACACACACTGTCCCCCCATCATATGAAATAATAACAGTGGCTGTTTCAATGCTGCCTCGTAGTTTTTTAAATATTTTTTAAAGTCCATTAGTAGGACTAGATTTTTTTAAAGGTCTGAATTTTTTACAAAATATTTTTTCCAAGAGTCTATCAAAGGTTTGCAATTTTTTAAATATTTTTTTGGGTCCGTCAAATGGTTTAGCGTGCATTATTAGGCCTTGAATTTTTTCTAATTACTTTTTAAAGTCCATTAATAGCCCTAGTTTTAAAAAAATATATTTTTTTCCTGATCAAAATCATCAAAAAATATATCCATTTTTATTAAATAAGTCACTTTCAAAGCCCCCAGTCTTTTTTCTCTTTTAATGTCCTCCCATCACATGAAATAATAACAGTGCCTGCTTCAATGTCTGCCTCTCTTAACAAGAGGGAGCCACCATTCTCTCAATCTCTTTCACACACACACATGTCCCACCATCACAAAGCCCCCAGTCTTTTTTTCTCTTTCTAATGTCCCCCCTTCACATGAAATAACAGTGCTTGCTTCAATGTATCCCTCTCTTATCTAGAGGGAGCCACCATTCTTTCAATCTCTTTCACACACACTGTCCCCCCATCACATGAAATAACAGTGCTTGCTTCAATGTATCCCTCTCTTATCTAGAGGGACCCACCATTCTCTCAATCTCTTTCACACACACTGTCCCCCCATTACATGAAATAATAACAGCGGCTGTTTCAATGTCTGCCTCTCTTAACTAGAGGGAGCCACTACTCTCTGCCTCACACATTCCCATTAGAAAAGCGTTAAAAAGAACAACAACTGGAAATAGGCAAAACAAAGCACACACACAAGAGAGCATGCTTGATTTGCTTGTCTGGCCAGGCTGCCTTGCACAAGCAGTAGCAGGTTTTCTTGTTGTTGTTTTTTCTGTTTCTATTCATTTGTTGTTATTGTTGCTATTTTTAGATTAATAACAAATATACATCAAAATTTAAATAATAGCTATTTCATGTTATATTGTGTTTATTTGTTCTTCTTCTTGTTGTTGTTATTGCTGCTATATTCATTCTCACCACGAAATAAAATGAAATAAAAAACAACAACAACAACGAAAAATCATTATCTCTTTTGAGAATTTTTTGCCATAAAAATGTTGTTATTGTTATTTTACTTTACACAATTGTATACATTATTATTGTTAGTGCTAGCCTTAGGCCGAGTCATCGTCATCTATCCCACTGTGAAATTTACTGGACAACGAGAGAGTGAGAGAGGAGGTGACGACGGCAGAAGGAGGAAGAAGGTGTTGGTGTGAAAATTAAAATCACACAACTAAATGAATTGTCGATTAAATTTGTGAAAGGTAGGAAGGCACGGTAATTCCCGAATTCTATGCCACTGGGTCGCCCGACCAAAGAACATTAACACACGAGTGAGAATGAGAGAGGGAGTCGTCGCAATGTGTGTTTGATTGAGTGTGTGCGCCTGTTTGCAATTTAATTTCTTATCTGCGCTTAAACAACAACAGCAACAAACAACAACAAACAACACCAACCATTTGACGGCTCACAACAACCATTATTGTTATTGCTTTGGAATGGAAAGAGAATACCAACAAACGACAACAACAAACATTTACTACTATTTACCCATTTACTATTCATTGTTTACAGATTGATCTTGTTTGGATTTGTTAGAGTTGCTATTGTTGTTGTGTTGCTGTTTGTGCTGCTGTGACTCCTGTATTTGTTTGCCCATAAACAAAAAATTGTATTGACAGTTTTTGTTGGGGACTCTGCATGCCTGCCTGCCTGCCTGCCTGCCTGCCTGTTTGGCTACCTTGGCTTGCTGGCTGTTTGCTGATGTTGCCGATTGCTTGCTTTGCGATTTGATTGTTTGCTGTCAACATGGAAAGGGGGACACAAAATCGTGCGGAAGACGGTGAAGAGGTGGCAGAAGACAAAACAGGTTGAAATGGAAGGGGTAAGTGAACACAGTGGTCTTAAAGTAGTGAACAGTGGTCATTTGCGCCCATGCTCCGACCGAAGATAACGGTGAATAGACCAAAGACATATTTTACTAGGCGTTCGTAAAACGGCAAATGACCGTTGCCCTGGTCATGACATTAAAATTCTGCTAAGAGATTTTAATGCAAAAATCAAAAGGGAAAAAATCTTTGGCCCCACCGTCGGAAAATTCAGCCTTCTTGAAGAAACATCAGACAACGGCTTGAGGTTGATTGACTTCGCGGCAGAAAAAAACATGGTAAATAGCAGCACCAGATTCAAGCATCTCGATATACACAAGGTCATCTGGATTTCTCCTGATCAAGCAACGAGAAATCAAATAGATCATGTTGTGATATAGACGGAAGGCATTCATCCAGTGTTTTAGAAGGCATTCATCCAGTGTTTTAGACTACCGATCGATCCGAGGAGCGAATATCGATTCGGACCATTACCTTGTAGCAGCCAAGGTACGCACCCGTCTTAATGTAACACGAAAATTTGATGTCGAAAAGCTGCAAAAACACAACAGATAGCAGAAGCCTAGTCCGCTTAACTTACAGAACTGTTGACGAAAGTACCCCTTGTCCGATAATAATATAGAAGCATAGGGGGGGGGGGGGGGGGGCAGAAAATTACCCACTCCCTACAAAGCCCCGCAGCAAAAGCAAAACTTGGGTACCAAAGACCACCATCAAGAAATCCGTGGTACGATCAGGAGTGTCATAATGCTACTGATGCGAAAAACGCAGCATTTAGGGCAACCCTGCAGACAGTAGCAACATGTAATGCTTTGGTGCAGGCACATCTTCCTGTAGAGATGAAGAAGGAAACCTGGTGACAGAAAGAACAAGAAAAACGTGAGCGTGAGCAAATCGAGATGTACAGGAGTCAGAATGAAGTCCTGAAATTTTACCAAGGGGTAAAATACCAAACCGAAGGTTTTGGTACAGGCATATGATCCTTTAGAGATGAAGAAGGAAACCTGGTGACAGAAGGAAACCTGGTGTTGAGGATCTGGAGGGAGCATTTTGAAAAGCTTCTGGTATGAAATAGTGACGGTGAAGAGGATACCCCAGAACCAATAATAGATGACGGTATAGAGTGTATACCACCTAGCCATGATGAAGTCAGAATAGCAATTAATCGGCTCAAGAACAATAAAGCAGCTGGTGCCGATGGGTTACCAGCCGAATTATTCAAAACTGGTTGTCAGATGCTGGTAAGGAGCATGCACCAGCAGATTAGTACAATTTGACTAGAGGAATGCATACCCAATGATTGGAACCTCAGCATCCTGTGTCCCGTGCACAAAAAAGTTGACAAGACGATATGTGCCAACTATAGAAGAATAAGTCACCTTCCCATCTCATATTAAGTGTTATCCAGCGTGCTGTGTGAACGACTGAAGCCAATGGTCAATGACATTATTGGACCATACCAATGCGGCTTCAGACCTGTGCAAATCCACCATTAATCAGATTTTCACTCTGCGCCAAATCCTGGAAAAACCCCACGAAAAACACATCGACACATTCCATTCGACTATAAAGTCGCATTCGACAGCACTATCCGTTCAGAGGGGTTTAAAGCCATGTCTACGTTCGGCATTACTGGAAAATTAATACGGTTATGCAGGATAACTTTAACAGGCACAAGATCAGTAATTAAAGTCGGAAAGGACCTCTCTGAGCCCTTTAATACCAAACGAGGATTCAGACTAGGGGACCGTTTGTCGTGTGATATTTTTAACATCCTGCTGGAAAATGTCATACGAGACGCAAAGGTGAACAGAAATGCCACTCTGTACACCAAACAACACGTGTTACTCGCCTAAGCCGATGACATCGATATAATGGGTCGAACATTGCGAGCGGTAACAGCCACCTTTGAACAAATTGAGAAGGAGTCTGCCAGTAAACGGCGAGAAGACTAAGCTGATTGTATCAACACGCAAGACGTCCAATAGACTCGAACCAATTGTGGAACTTGAGAACTACACCTTCGAGGTAGTCAAAGACTTTATATACCTTGGTACGGCCACAAATAAAACGAATGACATCTCTTTTGAAATTTGGAGAAGGATTGTGATTGCCAACAGATGCTACTATGGTCTGTGCAAATAACTCAAAAGCAAGGCCACCTCCCGCCAGACCAAACTCACACTCTACCAGACGCTGATACTACCCGTGCTGTTATATGGATCTGAAGCATGGGTACTGGCATTAGCAGATGAGGCAGCTCTTGGAGTGTTTGAGAGAAAAATTATCCGAAAGATCTATGGGCTGGTGAATATCGCCGTCACATGAACCATGAACTGTACCAGCTATTCTCGGACATTGTTAGACGTATTGAGCTGCAGCGACTACGTTGGCTAGATCATGTTGTGAGAGTGGATGAAGATGCCCCAGCCCAAAAGGCATATAAAAGCGAACCTGTAGAAGGCCTCGAATAAGATGGAAAGACCAAGTTGGAAACAACATCATGGAACATGGCCTTTCAAATTGGAGGAGATGCGCACAAGACCGACGCGCTTGGAAATCTTTTTTAAGCTCGGCATATGGAACGAAAGTTCCGGCACAAGTCAGCGAAGTAAGTAAGAACAATTTTTAGTAACTCAATTTCTTTCTTTCATTATAGACGATGAGCTTCTTTCTGAGACTCATCCTTCTGGATATATGGACAATTTGGAAGCATATTTTTTTGTAATTTTGACATATTTGCATTTAAAGTTATTACTTCAAGGCTCATCAGAGGCAACCATGAATACCAACTTTTTGGCGTATTTGCATTTAAAGTTACTTGTTCGGAGTTCAACGACTTCCAAAATAAAATTTTGGAAATTTTTATTTGTAATTCTCTGGAAATCCTCGCAAGTCGTAATTAAATTGGACTTCGTGAACATAAACTTATCTAATAAGAGGATGGGGGGACTCACCACAAACGCAATGTAAGGGATATTTTCAATTAAAAACACAGGAAACTTACCTGAAAAAAATAAAATATGAAATTATTGAAATGCTGGGGAAAAATAATAATCATCATATAAAGAAAAAAAATTGGTCATTGAAAAAAAATATTAAAAAAAAAAATCTTCGCATATGTCGGTCATCAAAAATATATTTTTTTAAAAATTCAAGCCTTGCTTTGGTCATGAAAAAAATATATATTTTTTCAAATTAAGGATTCTGGTCATTAAAAAAATATTTTTTTTTATTCACCGTCTACTGGTGGACCCTAAAAAATATTTTTAAAAAATTTACTCGTGCTGTTGGACCCTAAAAAATATTTTTAAAAAAATCTACGACTATGACTGAATAATATTCCTTTTCTACCACTGTATCTCTTCTCGCAAATAATTGTCTTCTTTTTTATTTACATGGCTTTTTATTTATTTACTATTTATTTATTTTTCTTTTTTATTTGCTAAAAACATTTTTTTCCAATTGCTTAGCTTTTAGCATTAGAGGTGCGATGGTGTGGGGTGCAGCAGATCTTGTTTACATGTGAATTCAATCAGTTGGACAAATATAAATAACATTTTTTTTTGCTATTTTATTTTATTATTTATTTTTTTTTTCCAATACCCCCAATGATGACATTGTTAAAATATTTAATAGCTTTTTATTTATTTTTAATGACAATGATTTTTAAAAAAATATTTTTAGAGGTTTTACGGAAGGTAAGGAAGTTACCATAAGGCGAGAATTTTTTAAAAATTATTTTTATGGATTATTCAAAGGTGGAGAATTTTTAAAAATTATTTTTAAGGCTCGAACATATGGCGTGGATTTTTTAAAAAATATTTTTAATTTCTTTAAAAAATATTTTTAAATTTTTTAAAAAATATTTTTAAATTTTTTTTAAAAAAATTTTTAAATTTTTTAAAAAATATTTTTAAAATTTTTTTAAAAATATTTTTCTATTGAAATTTAATTTTTTTAAATATTTTTTTTTTCAACAAAAAATTCGATTTTAATATTAATTTGCAAATCTTCACACATTTATCATCTGACTGAAATGTTAATTATAATTATATATTGTTTATAACAATAAGCAAAATTAAAAAAAAAATGAATTATAGCTACACGAAAAAAAAAATCAGAGAAAAAAAATCACAGAAAAAAAAATCCCAGAAAAAATACAAAAAAAATTATTTATAAAATTGAAAATGAAAACGAAACGCTAATCGCAAAGCAGATGTAAGGCTAAGGCAAAAAAAAAACTTGTCTATAAAACCTGACTATTTTTTTTTTTTTTTGTTTGCTTGTGAAGTAGAAAAAATCCGACTTAAACGGGGTGACATCAGCTATGACTCTATATAGATAGATTTTTTTCTATTAATTTTTTCAAATCTTATGAGATTTATTCAGCTCTAGCACACCTAGTACCTCATCTGACATACTGTGGCGGAACGGGAAGGGAAGGGGGGACATTGTGGATTAAAGTCAAACATGGTGCGATGGTGATGATGATGAAGATGACGACGACGATTGACTACACGTTTTGCAAAATACTATGAAAAAAAAAAAACGCTTAGAAAAAACATTGAATAATGTCTGTCATAGCTAAGGTGCGATTTGCGATTGTGCGTTGCTTGTGTTTTTATTTCTATTAAAATATTTTTTTATTTCTATTTGTAAAGAAAGTTTTTAATGAAAACGTCATCATAAAAAACAAAACATGAAAAGAAAAAGTCACTCAAAACAATTCTCTTTCGAAACAAAATTCCTTAAATGAAGATGTGTATTGTTGTTGAATGTAGTTGTTGCTATTTTACAAAAATGCTGAATATGGCATTTTAAAAAGCGAAAGGTGGACTAGGCAACAATCACATAAATTAAATCAGCTAAAAAAATTGAACAAACCAATTTCCAGGGAAAAAATTAAATAAAAATCTGAAAAAAATTTTCCTAAAAAAATTCCCACATTATAAGAATCTCAGAAATTTATTAAAAATAATATTTAAAAATGTGAAAAAAATATTCCTAAAAAATTCCCAACTTATAATTTATTAAAAAAATTATTTAAAAATGTAAAAAAATTCCCACCTTATAAGGACCTCAGAAATTTATTAAAAAAAATTATTTAAAAAATCTACGCCTTATAAGGACCTCAGCAAAAAATAGTAAAAAAAATCTACGCCTTATAAGGACCTCAGAAAAAAAATATTTCAAAAATCTACGCCTTATAAGGACCTTAGAAAAAAAATATTTAAAAAATCTACGCCTTATAAGGACCTCAGAAAAAATATTTAAAAAATCTACGCCTTAAAAAATATTTAAAAAATCTACGACTTATAAGGACTTTAAAAAAAAAAATAAAAAATCTACGCCTTAAAAATATTTAAAAATTCTACGCCTTAAAAAAATATTTAAAAAATCTACGCCTTATAAGGACCTCAGAAATTTATTAAAAAAAGTGTTTTTAAAAATCTACGCCATATAAGGACTACAGAAATTTATTAAAAAAAAATATTTAAAAAATCTACGCCTTATAAGCACCTCAGAAAAAAATATTTAAAAAATCTACGCCTTCTAAGGACCTCAGAACAAAAATTTTAAAAAATCTACGCCTTCTGAGGACCTCAGAAAAAATTCTTTAAAAAATCTACGCCTTATAAGGACCTCAGAACAAAAATTTTAAAAAAATCTACGCCTTCTGAGGACCTCAGAAAAAAATCTTTAAAAAATCTACGTCTTATAAGGACCTCAGAAATTTATTAAAAAATATATTTTAAAAATCTACGCCTTATAAGGACCTCAGAAAAAAATTCTTTAAAAAATCTACACCTTATAAGGACATTAGAAATTTATTAAAAAATTCTTTAAAAAATCTACGCCTCATAAGGACCTCAGAAATTTATTAAAAAAAATTATTTAAAAAATCCACGCCTTATAAGGACCTCAGAAAAAATTCTTTAAAAAATCTACGCCTTATAAGGACCTCAGAAATTTATTTAAAAAAATATTTAGGACCTTAGAAATTTAAAAAAATATATATATTTAAAAAATTTACGCCTTATAAGGACCTCAGAAAAAATTATTTAAAAAATCCACACCTCTTCCATCATAATTTTACTTTATAACGAAGTACATATCTCTTCTTAATGTCATTTATCCTTATTAGTCATTACACTTAATTTTTATTATCCTGTGTCCTTGAAACTGCTGAAGAAGAAAGCAATTTATTTGAAAATATTATTTACTGTAATAATAATGGCTGTCAGTTCCGCCACTATAATTGAATTGATATGGCTTTGTTTTCCGAGTTCTGTTCGTAGAGCCATTAAGTGAATTAAATTAAAAAAATAAATCACAAAAGGAAGGAGGATGAAGTGGTGGTGGGGGTTTGGGAAAGGATACCATGAGAATGGTGGATATTTGCAGGAAAGAATTTATTCTATAAGGCGTGGATTTTTGTATTATTATTATTTCATGGGTCCATCCAAGACGTGGATTTTTTTAAATATAAGATGTAAATTATTTATATATTTTTTTTCGAAAGCTAATATGAGATTGAAAAAAATCGGACGCCTATATAAGGCGTAGATTTTTGAAATAATTTTTTTGGAAGCCTATATAAGGCTTAGATTTAAAAAAAATCGGAACCCTATATAAGGCGTAGATTTAAAGAAGAAATCGGAAGCCTATATAAGACGTAGATTTTTGAAATAATTTTTTTCGGAAGCCTATATAAGGCTTAGATCTTATAAATAATTTTTTTCGGAGGTCTACATAAGGCGTAGATTTTTTATATAATTTTTTCAAAATATTTTTTCAAGGGCCTATACAAGGCATGGATTTTTTAAAAATATTTTTTTTCTAGGTTTCTAACTTTTCTAACAAATATTCCGATTCTAAAATCGAATAACCTCCACATACACAACTTATCTATTTAACCCATTACCCAGTCATCGTGGCAATGACTGTATGGTGGAAACATGTTTCGAATATTAATTAACATATTAGAGATAGACAAGGCGGCCTTAAATGTCTTTTTTGGATTAGTATTTGAAAATAAATAAAAAAAATACAAACAGTGACAACAACAAACTACAACAATAAAAAACTAAATAAGCAATAAAAATAGTTGAACACAAATTGTTGATATCCAAAAAAAAAAAAGAAAAAATAAATAAAATAATCAAATGCCATAATTTGACGATAATTGTTGTTGCGCAAGAGCCCCTAACATATTTTTTTTATTTTTGGATACCAAAAAAAATTTGAAAATATTTGATTGTGGTTTGCAATTAAATTCTCCAGGCGGAAGTTTAAAAACATAATTTTTTGAGTACTTTCTAAAAAACCCCTAAACAAATATTTTTATTTTTTTTTCATTTTGCTCCCAATTTTGGTGGGTCATAATCTCAGTCTATGTAAGTTATTAAAAAATGTGTTTTATTACATTTGTGGGAAATTATTTTCAAAAACAAAAAAAAGGAAGCGAAAGTTTAATTGAGTCATATAATTAATCATAAAAAATACGATTATACTATCTGGCAGAAGAATGAGAGAAATATGGGAGATTTTTTTTTTTAATAAATTTCAAGGGTCTATACAAGGCGTGGATTTTTTAAATAATTTTTTCAAGGGTCTATACAAGGCGTGGATTTTTTTAAATAATTTTTTCAAGGGTCTATACAAGGCGTGGATTTTTTAAATAATTTTTCCAAGGGTCTATACAAGGCGTGGATTTTTTAGATAATTTTTTCAAGGGTCTATACAAGGCGTGGATTTTTTAAAAATTTTTTTCAAGGCTCTATACAAGGCGTGGATTTTTTTAGATAATTTTTTTAAGGGTATATACAAGGCGTGGATTTTTTAAATAATTTTTTCAAGTGTCTATATAAGGCGTTGATTTTTTAAATAATTTTTTTCAAGGGTCTATACATGGCGTGGATTTTTTAAATAATTTTTTCAAGTGTCTATACAAGGCGTGGATTTTTTTAAATAATTTTTTCAAGGGTCTATACAAGGTGTGGATTTTTTAAATAATTTTTTCTAGGGTCTATACAAGGTGTGGATTTTTTAAATAATTTTTTCTAGGGTCTATACAAGGTGTGGATTTTTTAAATAATTTTTTCTGGGGTCTATACCAGGTGTGGATTTTTTAAATAATTTTTTCAAGGGTCTATACAAAGCGTGGATTTTTTAAATAATTTTTTCAAGGGTCTATACAAGGTGTGGATTTTTTAAATAATTTTTTCTAGGGTCTATACAAGGCGTGGATTTTTTAAATATTTTTTTCAGGGGTCTATACAAGGCGTGGATTTTTTAAATAATTTTTTCAAGGGTCTATACAAGGCGTGGATTTTTTAAATAATTTTTTTCAAGGGTCTATACAAGGCGTGGATTTTTTAAATAATTTTTTCAAGGGTCTATACAAGGCGTGGATTTTTTAAATAATTTTTTCAAGGGTCTATACAAGGCGTGGATTTTTTAAATATTTTTTTCAAGGGTCTATACAAGGCGTGGATTTTTTAAATATTTTTTTCAAGGGTCTATACAAGGCGTGGATTTTTTAAAAAAATTTTTCAAGGCTCTATACAAGGCGTGGATTTTTTTAGATAATTTTTTTAAGGGTCTATACAAGGCGTGGATTTTTTAAATAATTTTTTCAAGTGTCTATACATGGCGTGGATTTTTTAAATAATTTTTTCAAGGGTCTATACAAAGCGTGGATTTTTTAAATAATTTTTTCAAGTGTCTATACAAGGCGTGGATTTTTTAAATAATTTTTTCAAGGGTCTATACAAGGCGTGGATTTTTTTAAATAATTTTTTCAAGGGTCTATACAAGGTGTGGATTTTTTAAATAATTTTTTCTAGGGTCTATACAAGGTGTGGATTTTTTAAATAATTTTTTCAAGGGTCTATACAAGGTGTGGATTTTTTAAATAATTTTTTCTAGGGTCTATACAAGGTGTGGATTTCTTAAATAATTTTTTCTGGGGTCTATAGAAGGTGTGGATTTTTTAAATAATTTTTTCAAGGGTCTATACAAAGCGTGGATTTTTTAAATAATTTTTTCAAGGGTCTATACAAGGCGTGGATTTTTTAAATAATTTTTTCAAGGGTCTATACAAGGCGCGGATTTTTTAAATAATTTTTTCAAGGGTCTAAACAAGGCGCGGATTTTTTAAATAATTTTTTCAAGGGTCTATACAAGGCGTGGATTTTTTTAAATAATTTTTTTCAAGGGTCTATACAAGGCGTGGATTTTTTAAATAATTTTTTCAAGGGTCTATACAAGGCGTGGATTTTTTAAATAATTTTTTCAAGGGTCTATACAAGGCGTGGATTTTTTAAATAATTTTTTCAAGGGTCTATACAAGGCGTGGATTTTTTAAATAACTTTTTTAAGGGTCTATACAAGGCGTGGATTTTTTAAATAATTTTTTTAAGGGTCTATACAAGGCGTGGATTTTTTAAATAATTTTTTAAGGGTCTATACAAGGCGTGGATTTTTTTAAATAATTTTTTCAAGGGTCTATACAAGGCGTGGATTTTTTAGTATATATTTTTGGAAGATCAGTTGACCATTGATCCCACCTTTGTTTATTTTTCTGCCATTTAAAAATTCTCTATACAAAGAAAATATTGAAATTTTAATTAATCCACGACTTTTTCCAATTCAAAAAAAAAAAAAAAAAAAACACGCAATTACAACAGCTGGCAAACAGTCAACAGATGTCTATGACACTTGATTTTTCCTTTCAAGTGTTGTCTTGTCTTCTCAATTTTTTTGTTTCAATTTCAATTTTTCAAAATTAAAACCACCCACATAAATGGATGACTGCAAAACATCGACGACTCATGTCGTATTCTTTTTAATGAATATTTTTTTAGCAGCTGTGGAAAATTGTAGCAAAAAGAAAATGATTTCAATAATACTCATCTTCATATTTCTTCTTCTACATGCTATGATAAACAATTTCCGAATAATGTTCTTTTTTTGTTTATTTATTTTTTTATTATTATTGACATATTTTTTATGGATTCCCCTCAAGTAGCCTTTCGATCGAAATGTTCACACTTCCATTTTCACATAAACACACACACACCAGATGACAAACAGCATTGAAATCGGCTATTGTCGAAGATGATTGCATTATGGTTCCGCTATTGTCCACACATTAAGTGAAGAGGGGATTGAGGGGCCTCCCCTTATTTTGTTGACATTGAATTGCGATTCTGGAGGGTACTTGAAAAAAAAAATAAATGTCGCACAATAATCAGTAACACTTTGTTGGGTAATTTAGTCACTTGTAATGGGAAAATATACAAACACAGTCACACTCACACACACCCATATAAACACAAGGGTCATTTGGGAATTTCTCCTCACCTCCTGAATATTTATGTTACACATAAATATTTTATGTTACACATAAAATACAAATTTTTCCTTGAGTGTAAATCTTTACCTATGACCCTTTCCCTTCGCTGACATCCGGTCCCTTCTTTTGGTGTCACTTTTATGTTTTCATAAATAAATAAAAACAAAATTAATTGTCTGGCGACATGTGTCAACATTAATGATTCTCAGATTTATTTTCTCTTTCTACTACCTGGTCATCTTGTTTCCGGTATTTAAGAACAAAAAAACAAAACCCTTGAAAAAATTATTTAAAAAAATCCACGCCTCAGATAGACCCTTGAAAAAATTATTTAAAAAGTCAACGCCTCAGATAGAGCCTTGAAAAAATTATTAAAAAAATCCAGGCCTTGTATAGACCCGTGAAAAAATTATTTAAAAAATCCACGGCTTGTATAGACCCTTGAAAAAATTATTTAAAAAATCCACGCCTTATAAGGACCTCAGAAAAAATTATTTAAAAAAATCTACGCCTTATAAGGACCTCAGAAAAAATTATTTAAAAAATCCACGCCTAAGGATCTCAGAAAAAATTATTTAAAAAAATCCATGCCTTCTAAAGACCTCAGAAAAAATTATTTAAAAAATCCACGCCTTCTAAGGACCTCAGAAAAAATTATTTAAAAAATCCACGCCTTATAAGGACTTCAGAAAAAAATATTTAAAAAAAAATCCACGCCTTATAAGGACCTCAGAAAAAATTATTTAAAAAATTCACGCCTTATAAGGACCTCAGAAATTTATTAAAAAAAATTATTTAAAAAATCCACGCCTTATAAGGACTTCAGAAAAAAATATTTAAAAAAAAATCCACGCCTTATAAGGACTTCAGAAAAAATTATTTAAAAAATCCACGCCTTATAAGGACCTCAGAAAAAATTATTTAAAAAATCCACGCCTTATAAGGACCTCAGAAAAAAATTATTTAAACAATCCACGCCTTATAAGGACCTCAGAAAAAATTATTTAAAAAATCCACGCCCTATAAGGACCTCAGAAAAAATTATTTAAAAAATCCACGCCTTCTAAGGACATCAGAAAAAATTATTTTAAAAATCCACGCCTTCTAAGGTCCTCAGAAAAAATTATGTAAAAAATCCACGGCTTCTAAGGGCCTCAGAAAAAATTATTTAAATAATCCACGCCTTCTAAGGACCTCAGAAAAAATTATTTAAAAAATCCACGCCTTATAAGGACCTCAGAAAAAATTATTTAAAAAATCTACGCCTTATAAGGACCTCAGAAAAAATTATTTAAAAAATCCACGCCTTCTAAGGACCTCAAAAAAAATTATTTAAAAAATTCACGCCTTCTAAGGACCTCAGAAAAAATTATTTAAAAAAATCCACGGCTTCTAAGGACTTCAGAAAAAAATATTTAAATAATCTACACGTTCTAAGGACCTCAGAAAAAATTATTTAAAAAATCCACGCCTTATAAGGACCTCAGGAAAAATATTTAAAAAAAATCTACGCCTTATACACGCCTTAATTATTCTCCATTAAAGTCACAAAGTTTATTAAAGGCGTCAATGTCCTGCAGTTAA